TTCGTTAAGTACTAGCAGGGTGCCTGGACATCTCCAGAATTTATTATTGTGTGGATTGTACGTTCCTTAACATTTCTAAATTCAATAGAATTATGCAATAATCATTTGCTCCTGTTAAGGTTTTAGGAACACGATTGGGGATAAAATATAGATACATATACAAATTTATGTACGTGCGCGTGTCTGAATATGTATATATGTATATATGTATGTTTACAAGTTTATGTGTGCATCTAGATCTTGATTATTTTCTTTGCAGTGACTTTTTTTTTTGCCTCTTTTAGTAAAAGGTAAGCATGTTAGTAAAAGTAATTGCTGGAACTACTTGTGTTTATTTCTTTGCTTAAAGTTTATGCCTTAGCTAATGGTGTTTCCTTCTTCCTTGCTCCTTCTTGAAGCATTTTAAAAGATTGAAGAGTGGGAAGAATTCTGGTGTTTTGTTCACCTCGATCTGATCACTAGCTGTCATGGATGCCCGCCACAGGTTAGGCAAATGTTATTTGTCCCTTTCCCCTTATGTAATTTGCCTTCATATAGGTTGAGCAAATTATGTATCAAAATTTTGATCGCTTATCTTTGTGTATGCAAACTCAGAGAAGTACTGTAAGTCAGATGTTATTGGATAGATTTAGAATTTTTTGTCATTACTTGTGATATTGAGGTCATAATAGAAAAAAATTTTACAGAATTTTATTTGGCGGAGGAAACTTTCTTGATGCCCTTATTTGTGAATTATTCCACTCCTAGCATTAAACATTTCCATCAATTCGAAGTGGGCAGTACTTTTTTTTATAGTTAATATGATCAGAATCATCCTATCATGGACATAGTTTTTTAGTTGGGATTTATATATCGGCAATCTCTTCGTATCTGTCCTTTCCCTCCAGTCAAAACATTTAGGTTTCCCATCCGACTCATGGACAATGCAAATGATTTCCGGAAATCTTCAAAACCCTGCAATTCTGTCACAATCTCCTTTGTGATATCACCAAAGAGTAGCTGCTGATCGACTCCTAGGACAACTTTTTTTGATAGAACTCTGGAGAAGTAGGATGATGTGAATGTGTAATTTGAGCCTGATTCTGGGTTTAGGAATACAAGTAGGTCAGTTTGGCCCTTTTGGGTTTTGGGACATAGCTTCCGGAGTTCGGCTAAGAAACTTGCTGCTATGCTTCTGTCTGGCTTTCCGGTATTATTGAAATTGTATAGCCTATCAACAATATGGCTGCAATGTGTTCTTCCCATTGAGTGTGCTCCTGAAACCAATAAGGATATTCAGTCATAAATAAGTTACAGTATCATGAAGTTTAATATTGCCCTTAAGGCTCTACTATCTTCAAGTTTTTTCTTCCTTCTTTTTTCTCTTTCTAGATTCTGTCGTTTTAGGATTTGGAGCGTTCACACTCGGTAAATTGGAGATGTTATTGTATTTATTCTCTGGCTGCAAGACTTCTTTTCCCCGAAAATAGGCCTTGCTCAAATGTAAGGGGCGACATTGATGAACAAAGGTTGATAGGAGTCACCTGTACGCCATATTGAAATGTTGCCTTCTTCATATGGTCGTGTCCTTTTATTTCTACTTACCTCCTGCTTTCCTGATATTGAAAGCTAGAAACTGGACGGTGAAATGGTGCGTGTTGGTGTGTGTGTAAGGCCTCTTTGTTTGACCCAGCAAAATTTTGCAACTTTACTTATCTCCTGCTTTTCTCAATATCTCTTTCTTTCATGTAGGCTTTAGTGTGTTCTATCTCCTGTAACTGTAAGACTATTTAAATTGCAGTCTGTAATGCCCAAGGTGTTTTCTTCAACTCTTTCTCTTTTTATTTTGTTTTGTTATTTTCTTATAAACGACTTAGAAATGTATGTAGACTGTTTAGTTGTAGAAAACATGTATAGTTTGCTGAAAAAGAAACAGGATTAAGAACAAGAAACTGTCATATTTTCACTATTACTTTTCAATTTTTTTTTTTTAAATTTTCACTATCTATATATGTTTTCATGAAATTTAGAAAATATAAACTCAGAAAAGTTTTTGGCAACTAAACAAACTCCAAGTATACGAATCTGCTTTCTTAGTTGTCTCCCTTTTAATATCGAACAGAAAATAATTTACTCTTGACTGTATTGATAAAGATTGTAGCTTCCTTACCTAGGAGAGTGGTCAGGTCAAGGATATCTAATCCTTTAGAGGTGAAATATGCCAATGCCGCTTCCCACGAGATGGATGGTGATGGAAGATCGACAGATGCTGCCATCGACTTCATGCCGTCCCTTCTGCCTGTAAATACTGGATATGATGGTGCTCCTGCCTGTTAATTTTTATTGTCACATAGAATCACATTCATTAATATCATTAGTCCTGCTCTGCTTAGCACAATCTAGTCCTATTTTACTGCTCTCTCAATTCTTTTAAACACCAGGCAGCATTTGGTAGCTTTATTCTACAACACCATACAAATCTACGGTAAGACCATACAAATCTATGGTATTGTTCAATATCAAAATTTTAAGCTACCAAAAATAGTAGGGAACAAAACTATAATAAATTTGTATTATACCAAGCTGTGCTGGTACTATATGCTAACAAAACACTATCTAGGTTTCTATCAATAACCACTTAGAATATAATGAAAAGTCCGTATGGGAGATTATGTAAGAGATGCTTTTACCAAGTGAACAGCATCTCTAGTGGCAAGATTTAGAATATCAGCGCAAGAAACTACTCCAGGACACCGCTGCTCAAGAACAGTTTTGATCTTGTCGATCACCACAAACCCTCCAAGGCCTATGTTCTGTGGTGCAGTCTTCTCCGAGTTAGGCACGTCTAGTAGAATAGATGCATCACAGCCCTACATTTGGTTGACCATGATTTAGATCCATCCATGATTGATTAGGAAGATTAGGAAAGCAAATGAAGTCTCGTATCAAAAATAAAACAAGAGAAAGAGACTTACGGTTACTAAACAATCCGAGTAGAGCAAGCGAAGTAGCTTAGGTGTGATGCTCTTGTCAGACTGCCAAAACCTTTTCACTTGGTACTGTATATAAGCTTCGGCATCATCACATGTATTGTGGACCTTGTAGTAATGCCATTGGAGCTTCACAGGTGTCGGCAGCGACGTGGCGGCCTTCACGTCTGCCGGCAAGAAGCTTAATACTGCAAGAGCCAACAGTGGAAGGATCGTAACTGCTGGTTGATCTCTTTTCTCCATAGATATATTTAGGCCTCCTACCACTCTTATCTCTTGATAAAAAATGCCTGCACACCACACCAGACTAGATCAGACCAGTTTCCTCTCTGGTGTACATATAAAATGCACCGCTATATCTACCCTTAAATATAGTCTCGACATTGTAGGATACACCTAGATTGCTTGATTCTTACAATTCTCAGAAGGTGGATTAGATTAATTTTAAAGGAGTATATGGTAATTTAAGTTGACGGGTCTTTTTTTTTTTTTTTTGAAACTTTTCATTATTTCTTAAAGAATGTAGTTTTGTTCTCTATATTATATACAATAAAATTAAGTTTAGGGGTAATAAGCAGAGGTTCACATCTTGTAATATGATTTTATTTGTTTCTATCCATGTGATTTTATTTTATATATTTCATGAAAATGTTTAGTTTTTAGAGTATATAAAGGTTTAAGATTAAATAAATCAAAATTTACACAGAAAATTCTAAAAATTATAATACAATAGGCTTGAAAACAAACAATTTCATAAAATCCAGGGTCTGTATTGCAACAAATCAAGATTGCAAGAGTGAAATTGTATTACATTGAAAACAAATTTAAGAATAGTATAGAATTCATTTATAATTTACATTTAGTTTTGATAAAAAGAGTTGTAATGCATATATACACATACATATATACATATATATATATATGAATGTCATTACTTATGATTTAATTTTAATCACTCATGTTTAAAGTTATAATTTCATATGATTTAAATAAGTATACTCTTACAAAATTAGTTCTACACAAATTTTAGATTTATAATTGAAACATAATATACATAAAGTTATTTAAATTAATTGAGAGCATTAGTTTAGGCTGTACACATGGACCAAGGCGTTCTAACTTCAACATC